CGTTGGGTATCATTGAAAGCTCTAAAACATTTGCCATGACTGTTCTAGGCTCCCCCCCACCCAGCAGCAAGAGCAAACAAATACAATACTTAAGTCTACGACTAATGACAAGTGATGGGACATTCCTTTGATGGAAAAACTGTAGGTCCTACCATGGCTGGAGGGGCAGATCCAGACAAAGGAAGAACCAGAGGCATAGGGTAGGGAATAAGGAACAGAGTCATTCTTTTGATCAAAATGGTATGTGATTAGTCCATAAACATTAGTCCCTGGCCCAAACACTAAACTGTGTATTGCGTAACATAAAATAGTAATACCAGACAGCTTACACTTATAATGCCCTTATTCTTAAATATACCATGCTTCAGGCAACCCACATATTTTGCAAGTATCGACTCATTCAGTGCCTAAGATAATCCTGTGAACTAGTTCTTCTGTTGTATCTGCTTCAGGTCAGGGAACCGAGGCTCAGAGATGTTAAAAAACTTGTTAATAATGGCCAACCGATTGGTAAGAATTGCAGCTGGGTTTGAAAACCTGGTTTTGGAATCTTTGCCTTAACCATTAGTTACTAGACATTTTTCCCGCTGTCCAGGATGTAAAGCTTCTTGATAAAATACAAATGAAATGATAAGCAGAAGTAAAAAATAGGGCATATTTAATCTCAAATGAATGAAGTGATTAAGTGTCCTCTCAAAGGGGAGAGTGCACACCCATGGGCTTATGTAAGATGATCTGCTGGGGCATAGGGAGAAGATTGGAACTTCTTTTTATACTTATGCTAAGTAGCTCATTAGGGCCAGGAATTTAGCTCAATGGTTCCTCCGCTTGCCTTGCAGACACAAGGGCCCAAGTTTGATTCCTGGTACCCCCACCCCCCCAAGTTAAATAGTAATATATTTCATCATGAGAAAACCAAGGATGGTATACCAAGATCTGATGAGACACAGTTAAAACACATGAAACCATTAATTTCAGTATGTGAAACATGAATTGGTGCCTTTGCTCATTAGCTGAGATCTCAAGAGATGATGTACACCGAAGAAGAGTTTCATCACAGACATCTACTGTTGGTAATGACAGCAAAATATTCGTGGATCATCTTAGCCCATGCACTGTTGCTAGAACAAAACACCAGAGCCCAGGTCATTTCTGAAGAACAGAGGTTTATTTAGCTCAAGAGCATGAGGATGGTATCTGATTATCATCTGATGCGAATATTCTCGCATATTCAGCATGGCTGAGAGTCACAGGACACAGAAGTTGTGGCAGAGAGCAAGCTCACTTTTACAACAAAGCTACTCCCAGGATAGCCCATTAATCTGTGAATGGATTAATCCATTTCTGAGGGCAGAGTCCTCAGGACCCAATTGCCTCAAAACACTGCTGCATTAGAGACCAGGCTTCCAACACATGAATTTTGGAGGACAGGGGAAGAGCACTGAGCACTCAGTAAATCTGGGCTATGTATCTTCTGAACTGTGAGGGCACTAGAGACCCAGCAGTGGACAAAAGTACTCTCAGGGCGCTTCTGGTTCAGGTGGGGAGAACAGATGGTAAAGATGTTGAACAAAGGAATTTGTAGTGGATTGGGTGGTGATGTGGGCTAAGGAGAGCACTGAAGCCAGGAGTGGGGTGGGAAGAATTGAGGACAGTTTCAGGCTCTCAGTGGGGCACACACATAGCGCATGTGCAAGGCCCTCATGTGAGCACCTTCCTGGAAAGGTGAATATGAACAAGCAAGGCGGTCAGTAAGACTGGAGCCCAAGGAGGAAGGAGAGGGACAGGAGAGGATGAAGTTGAGGAATCTTGGGGGGGGTGTGCGCACGCTCAAATGTGTGAGCAGGTCCTTTTGGCCTGCAGGGACTTGGCCTTTATTGTGGCAGAGATGGGATGGAAAGCCATGGCAGGGTGTGCACAAGGAAGTAACATGATCTGGCTCATGTTTCTAGAAGGTCATTAAAGCTACTGTGCTGAAAATACATTGTAGGGAAGTAAGGGCGGCAGCAGGGATGCTGGTTGGAAATCCTGCAGTAATTCCTGATGAGTGACAATGGTGACTTGGTCCAGGGTGTTGTCGGTAGAGTGAAGAGAAGGGGCTGGGTGTCAGGTAGGATTTGGTGGTAGATCTAACAGGATTTCCTGAAGCATTCGCTGTGAGCTGTGTGAGAGAGACTAGTATATATACTTTATATAGAAAAGTACATCCAGTGGGGATGAAACTTAAAATTGTTTACCTGTAGGGATGTACGATGAAGCATGGGGTCTGCTCGAATAGACGATAAGTAGCTACAGGGATTCTAAGGAGAGAGGCAGAAGACTGTCAAGGCTGGGCTTGGTCGGGCCTTGAAGAATGGATAGGATACAGTCAGGTAAAAATGCCCTGCGAGGGTGTGGTGAGGCCAGCAAAGGAACGGAGGTGCCTCAGCTCCAGGCCTGTTCTCTCACCTTGAATTTAGGCCTAAGATCTCATGATTTGAAGATGGCAGCGGTAGCCAGAGGATGGTATGTCCCACCCTGGACTCCGGAAGAGCAGTGAGACCCTTTCGTCTGGGGAGCACCTGAGAGTTGGTGCATGGTGTGCGTTTGCTTCAATGCTTTGTGCCCCCGAATCTCTGAATGAGAGCCATCGGGGAATCAATTAATAAATGTTAACTCAGTGGTCAGAAAGGCTTAACTTCTGCTCAGAGGATGATTTATTTACCAAGTGGAGCCGTGTTAAGAGGTGTGTGCCTGTATGGGAGCGATTCTGTTGGACTTAAAGTGCTTGCTATGTAATGAAAATACATCTTTCTGATTACATTGCTGAATTTTCCAAAAGCTTTATCTATATTTTATAAAATAGCTAAGTTTTTTTTTTAATGTTATCTGATGAATTTTCCATTTGCTAGGTAATTGTCAGCTCTGCTTGACTCTCAGAGGTTTGCACTCAAGAGCCCCTGGGCATAAACAGGGTGGCGGAAATACCCTTTTCCTGCCTGTGATTGTAAGACAGCCTCTAACTATTTCTGGAGGATGATTCATGTCACATTTTGGACTCATTACAGTTTTAAGTTGTAAATAGTGCTGGTTTGCCTGGAGGTATAAACATAAATTTCTGTCTTCATATGCATATGCTGTACCTGCTCCTGAAAAGTACTTTCTATTCTTGAGTTACAGACTAGGCTATGAACAGATTAACGAGATATTTATTGAAATTCTAATTATATTCATATAAAGCATGCTTCCAACAGTACCAGTTCCTTGAGGCTTGGCCTTCCTTCTCTATTTCTAAACACAGATGGAGAAGTTGAAGAACTGAAGGTCTTATTGTTACAAGAGATCATTATGTAAATTAAACCCCACACTTTCCTTTTTGTGCTGGTGTGAAAAGTGAGAGCAAGTGTTAAATTACTGTCCTGTCTGTGTTCATAAGTAACAGGAGTCACAGATTATTCAAAGTGCATTGAGGTATGGATGATAAAGTAAGGTGAAGCCATTCTGATTATTTTGGTTTGTTTTCTGGTAGATATAGTGGCGCTTAAAGGATATGGCGAAGCTGTCTTACTTTTTCAGTGGTTACAAATGTGTAATGGCAATAGAAATGCGAAGCAGTTATCACCTGAGTTTGTTGTCATCCTTGTACACAACAGCACCTTAAAATTATTTATAGATTTGTCCCCCAACTAACTGAATTTAGTAGGAAAGACAGTGGGGGTTGGGGTATAGCTAAATCTTTCTATGACTCTCAAGGAATTCTATGTCCTACCTCAAAATTTGAAAAATGACATTTGAGAATTTTAAATTACAGAAGTGAAAATAGGAATATGCAAAACATAAAGCAGTGTTAATGACCTTGTCATTGTTGTTTTCTATAAGCCCATTTTGATGGCATACTTTTTTTTGGTACCGGGGATTGAATTTAGAACCTTGCACTTGTGAGGCAGGCGGTGGCACTACTGACCTAAATCCGCGGCCAATAAAATGACAACCTTTTTGATTCACTGACCATGAGGCATGTATTCACCTGACTCCTTGAACATGTGTTTTATTTTTTATTTATTTATTTTTTTGGTACCAGGGATCGAACTCGGGTCCTTGCACTTTCAAGGCAGGCCGCCGAACCGCTGCGCTAAATCCCCGGCCCCTGGACATGTGTTTTAAAAAATTAAGTTGTAGTCCATCTGAGGTTGGTGCTTTCCATGTGGTCCTCCTGAACCATGGCATTTAGGGAGATTTATCCCTTTTTAAATAAGATTCCTTGATAATAAACATTGTGCATCTTATTTGATTCAGAAATGGTGGTGGGCGATTCTGCCACCTGCCTCACAAGTGCAAGGACAGGAGTTCGATCCCTGGTACCAAAAACAAAACGAAACAAGAAATGGTGGTGGGAGAGATGTTAGTATTTGGAGGGCCTTCGGGCAGCTTCTCCAGTTCGACTGAATCGAGCCTGGTCCAGCCTTATAAGTTCCCTCATCCTGCTGGAATCTTCCAGTGGTGACAAAGAATACCTTCTTTCTTTTTGTTTTTTTTTTCTTGAGACTTAAAAACCCCCTTTTCTCTTGGTTCTTCATTGTCTGCTTTATTAGCTAGCCTGGGTATCTACTTTTAGAAATTTGAATACAGTGGTGCTGAGGTGTAAGGCTTGACAATGCTGTATACTAAAAAAACAAAATAAAAGCAACCAATAAACTGTCCAGGTGATTCTGGTGCTCTTAGGAGGACAGCCTGTAACAGTGAGATAAAGGCAACATTTAAAACCCAAGTGTAGGGCCGGGGATTTAGCTCAGTGGTTCAGTGTCCTGTCTTGCAAGCACAAGGACCCGAGTTCAATCCCCAGTACCAAAACAACAACAACAACAACAACAACAACAACGAAAAACCCCAAGTGTCAACAGAGACGTTTTGGGAGTTATTTGGGTTTAATTCTGACACATCTGCATTTTGACTGAGTGCAGAACTGCTAGCACTTACACGAAATATTGTTGTATTTAACATTTCCCCCTCTGTCTTTTCAGCCATCATGTACGTCATGGGAGCGCTTGGGCCTGCAGTGGGATATTTATTAGGTGGACTTCTTATTGGTTTTTATGTCGATCCCAGAAATCCTGTTCACCTTGACCAGAATGACCCTCGTTTCATTGGAAACTGGTAAGACTGTGTTCTTAATTTTGCATTTCACCTTTTACTAATGATAGTTAGAGATAAGTACTCTTGTATTCAAAATTTTCTTAATGAAGAGACTAACAGTAGCTAAAAGTCTCCTAGGGTTGGGTGGCAGGCAGAATAGTAACCCTCGAGGATAGCCATTTCTTCATCCCCAGGGCCTACAAATGTGTTACCGTATGTGTGGTTACAGGGACTTGGCAAATGTGATCAAGTTCAGAATCTTGAGATGGGGAGATGACTTTAGATATTTTTGGTTCACCCATTATTAATCAAAGGAAAGAGGGAGGGAGGAGGGCCACAGTCAGAGGAGATAGTTAAATCAGAGTTTGCAGTGATGTGCTCTGAAGATGGAGGAAGGGGCTGTGAGCTAAGGAATGAAAGTAGAAAGGTAAGGAAATAGTTTCCTCTCTAGCTACAATCTAATGCCAACATTATAAATGTCTGACCTCCAGAATTATGAGATAACCCACTTATGTTTTCTGAGCCGCTACTATTATAGTAGCAATAAGAAACTAATACAGGGACTTTGTTGATGGTGTCTTGATTGGAATTTTGTAGGATTGGGCTGTTTCCTTTACAGCAAAGTCTAGGGAGAGGGCCGCTGAGGTTGTGAGAGGACTTCCTGTTTGTTTTAATCATATCTTTCATGATCTTTTCGGTGACTTTAAAAAACACTTTCCTCTCATTTCCTTGTTATGTTTGTATTTCTGCTTTATGACTCTGCCCCTGTGCCCAGAACTCCAGCCTTACTTTGCCATTGGCTGCTCTTAGCAAATCTTTTCTTTTTGGAAGTATTTTGTTTTCCCACGTGTGCTGAGATAACAGCTGTTCTCTCATTTGCTGGACTTTAACTGTCCTGCCAAATAAATCATATGTAGAACTCAGGGGGAGAATTCCATTTTGTATTATTTATTGTGCATGACCAGGGTTGTGTTTGGGTTCCTCACAGTCCTCAACTTGAATATAGTAAGTTATTTCTTCATGATTGCAAAAGCTCTTTCTCAAAATAATGGTGTCCCGAATTCATTTCACATGAATTGGGCTCACTTTCGCAGCTTGTATACACATGGATTAGTAGTAAGGATATATTGATAAGAAATTTCCATTTTATGGCTAAGAGAATATTTCCATTTTAGGATTATATTTGTCAACTGAGTAATCACTATCTAGAGCATTGCTTAGAGTATTTTGCTTTCTCTGTTATAATGACCTCATAACTCTGGGGTAGGTAGAAATAATGTTAGCCACTACTTTCAAGACAGATGGCAAGTATTAATTTAGTGATGTCACGTTTCTTGTTTTCATAGTAATCCTCATTGAAACTGGAAGTGCCGAGATCCAGATGAGTTTGCCTTGGTAGAATTTTCAAATCATACCAGGAGGACTTCCCCGTCAGAGGGGAATAATGCAGGATTTTCAAGTTCTTGACTAATAATGAAATTCTTGATCTCAGCTGCTTGCTTTGCAGTTTTGAAATAAATCAGAGTAGGGACTTTTTTTCGTCATTAGAAAATAAAATTATTAAAATGTATTTATGAGTACTAGACACATATCCCTATTCTGTTAGATGGCCTGAGAAGGGCACGGTGATAAGGAAGTACTGGGGAGGTGGGGGAGGAGAACCCATGTGGGCAGGGAGAAGGACTGGTAGAAGAGGAAGGAGCATTAGTCTTATAAGAGTCTTGTGCAGTCACCTAAAGTGTTTTCCAGTGAGCGTTACCCAACTGGTAGGAAAAGGGAGCTGCTTGGAATGCGACCCTAGCACTGTTTTCCCCTAGGCTGAAGTACCAGTGTGCGTCTAGTGGCCATGTGGCCTGGAGAATTGCTTCTACTGTGTGTGCCCCGGTTGTTTTTTAAATCCATAAAAGGAGGTTGCTGTACCTATTTCAAAGAATCACTGTGAGCAGCAAACAAACTTACATATGACTCCTGCTCCTGCTGTCCAGTGTGTGCTATTTGTCCTTTGAGTTTAATCCATGTTCAAGTAATTTTATCCATTTCATTTGCTCAATATCAGTTGTATAAATGATAAAGACGATCAGTATAGAACTATAGATCGGAGTCTATTTAAAAACGAATTTGAACTGTTCATTGAGTAGACCTACTTGTAGCAGATTTCTTCCTCGGGTAAAGACATAGTTATTCAGAAGCAGCAATGATAAGCTTTCAATAAATATGTGCTGACAGAGTGAAGGACGGAGTGGATGAATAACACTAAGATTGACAGGGTGCTTACAGTCTGTCAAGCATTGTACTAAGAGCTTTACAAACCTTCTCACTGAGATCTCTACAACCATATGTGGTCACTGATATTATTCCCATTTTGCAGGTGAGGAAATTGATGCTCAGGGCATTGAGTTACTTACTCAAAACTTCCGTCAGTAAGAACTGGAATAAGAAACTGATACCAGGGTAGAGCTGTTGATCAGTATATTAAACTGAGCCCCCTTCATGAATGTTTCGAGTAAGACTCGATGAAAAGGATTTAGGCGCTGTGGCCTTTCCATGTTAGCTGTTATCGATGTGTCTTTTCCCAGTACGTGATACTCACTGTCTTCTCTTTTCCTTGCGGCCTCCTCTGTAGCTGACATTATGTATGTCCTGTGGCATGTCATTATTGTTAGAAACCACAGTGGAAGAATATGGGCTGGTTTGTTCTGCTTTGAAATAACCTCAAACTATTATGTTATTTTTGTTGGTTTGCTATAATTCTTCCTCTTCTTCTGTTATGGGCTCTTACTTTGGGCTGTAAGAATGAATTTTTAATGTTTGCATGCAATTTTAGGCCCGTGACTGCAGGCAAGGTAGGCAGAGAGGCTGAGGGCAGATGTACATAAGAACAAAACCCAAGCAAATGAACTATCTACCATGAATTAATTATGGATTTAGGGGCCAGCATTTTTACTAGGCTTATTGTATACATCATCTTAACCTTAATTTGAGGACTCAAGAAACTACTTACTATTCTCTTATTGTTCTCTGTATCAACCTATTTGGGCAAGTAATTCAACTCTGAGCATCTCCCTTTTCAAATGAGAAAGCGAGTTTGGAAAAACAAAGTAATTTCCCCAAGATTTCCTAGTTAGTAAGTAGTAAAGATAGGGTACAAAGAAGTCTGGGTTTGGGGCGCTTTAATGTGGAGTTTGTTGAGTAAAATATCAGTGGGTAAGGTGGGTGAGCAGTCACATTCTAAAAAACCCAGACATGATCGTATGCGTGTTCCCTGCAGACAGATATCTTTTAATTTATTTGTTTGGCAAAATGTTTGAATATGCGATCTGTGTCTGGTACTGGATCGGTGACAATACTATGAATAATAGGGATGACTAGAAGTCTGCCCTGAGTGCTCTTCTAAAAATAAAGCCTTTCTAAAAATTTTAAAATTCTTATTTGAGGTACCTTTATCTTTGTAGGTAACGTGTTGGATTACTAGTTACTAGTTCTAGGAATCATTCTCTCAGCTAGACCGAGACCTTTCTCAGCTGATAACAATACTTTAATACAGAGACATTTTTAAAATGTGAATTTCCACTTAGCAGTTGGTATCTATTCCTCCTGGATTGAGTTAATTGAATTAATGGATGCACCTTGAGATCATAACGCCAAGCAAAATAAGTCAGAGACAGGTTAAAATCTTATGGCTTCTCTTACAGGAGAAACACAAAGTATAGGTAATTTAAAGAATAAAATAAAAGATAGACAATTGGAAACAGGGAGATAGACCTTTTGCAGATGGGAAGGGGATCTAAGAACAGAGGGAGAGGGGGAGGGAAAGGCAACTAAAAAGGACTAAGATGTGGTGTGTGTGTACCAATCCCCTATGATGAATGTGCATGCATCACAAACGTACGAATACAGAATTTTGTTCTTTTTGGTACCGGGGATTGAACTCGGGGACCTTGGCGCTTGCGAGGCAGGCGGTGGAACCACTGAGCTAAATCCCCGGCCCACTAATACAAATTTTTAAGAAATGAATTTTCACTTAGCAGTTGGTTTGCATTCTTACTGAACTGAAGTAATCATTAATGCTTAGAATGCTGCTTGCATTTGGTTCCAAATGATGGAAATAGGTTGATACAGAGAACAAAAATCTTTCTGAATGCTGAAGCTTCAAGAGTGGAGTTGGAAGTTGAGGATCCTAGTTAGAAGTGGCAACCCTATTAGGTAGGACTGGGGACCTCTGCTTGCTTAGAAAATGCCAGAGGGGACTGAGAAATTGCTCTGTGGAGAACTGCGTAGGTAGAAAGCCCCAGGGCAGAAACCATGGCTCCAACACTGAGATTTGCTTTTTATTCTGTTTTCGCCATGAATTCTCTGCAACACAGCAACTTCAGATGAACCTAAAGACAGGATTCTGAGTGTATCATAGCTCTAGTTCTGTGTACCTGTAGGATGCTTCCTGACCCACATTAATTTACCCTCTCTGAACTTTTATGTCATTAATAGTCTGTACTGTATGACCTAACTTTTTTTTTTGGTACTGGGGATCGAACTCGGGAAGTCACGCTTGTGAGGCAGGTGTTAACTCTTAATTGTATGTATATATCCTTGTACTTCTTGGGGATTGTTTCTTATATTTTTGGCTTGCTTACATCTAGGTTGTAAGTTTGTGAAGGCAAAGACCCAGTCAAAATGTCTTGGGGCTTCCGGCTACACTGAGTACTGAGAAGGGTCAGCTAGTGATTTAGGATGCGTTTGGTGTAGCTCAGCCCTACAGTAGGTGCTTAGCAGCACAAAGCTCTGTATTCAATCCCTTGCACCCAAACTTACAAACAAATAAGAAGTACATTTGACACAGGTATTATTTTTATTTTAAGAAAAAGTGGCTATATTGGTCTAAAAAGTATGCTATCAAATTTATGTTATTTTTCTATTAAATTTATTATAAAATTCACATTGTAACAAGGCTAAGAGTGTTAGGAGAAAAAATACATAGCTGCTTAAAAATATGTGAGTGAGGGGACAGGGATTTAGATCACCGGTGCTGCACCTGCCTCGCAAGCACAAGGTCCCGAGTTTGATCCCCGGTACCGGAAAAAAATAATCGAGTAATTCTAATCAGGGTTTTGATTATTATATTCATTATAGCAGGTGTGATGGCTCGCGCCTGTAATCCCAGCACTAAGGAGGCTGAGGCAGGAGGATCGCTGTGAGTTCGAGACCAGTCTGGGCTACATAGTGAGTTCCAGGTCAGTCTCAACTACACAGTGAGACCCTGTCTCAAAAAAACAAAACAAAACAAAACCAAAAATCACTATAATGCTAGCAGAATTGTTGGGTGGATTTAGATGCCTGAAAGGGAGAGTCATTTTATTTTCTCAGTGTATCCAATTGCTTTCGGCTGCTTTAAGCTCATAAAGGTAAAAGTTTTATCTGGAGAATTTTGTCTCCACAAAAATTCTACTTTGCTAATTTGTTCTCATTCACAAAACAAAACCCATAAATGCTATTCACATTTCCTGATTTTTTAGGTGGAGTGGATTCCTCCTTTGTGCCATTGCAATGTTTCTTGTGATATTCCCAATGTTTACTTTTCCAAAAAAGCTTCCACCTCGACATAAGAAAAGGAAAAAGAAAAAGTTTTCTGTTGATGCTGTGACCGATGATGATGTCATGAAGGAGAAATCAAACAATGGTGAACAAGTGGACAAAAAAGTTTCTTCAATGGGCTTTGGAAAGGACGTCAGAGGTATGGTATATGTCTTGAATAACTGTGTGCATGTTCCTTCGGTGTGGTCTGAGAGAAGTGCCACAGACATATGTCTCCTATTGACGTGTATTGTGTAAAAGTGTCAGTAGGTGACAGACTGGAAGTAATAAAAATCAAGGTCTTCCCTCTCACAGATTATTTGAGAAGCACTGATTTGCATCACAAAGGCGTGAATATTTAGATGTCACTACCGTAACTGGAGAGGTCTGATTCTTAAAATACTGGGTGCATTGCATAGTAGATGGCTTTGTTTTGTGGTTCAGTGGCTTTGGTAGAATGGCTTGATCCTGACAACAATGTCAAGCCTACCACTAGAAAGGACTCTCTTTCCACAGTGCTTCCAAAGGTGCTTGTTTAGGGCCGCCCTTGGTGAGAGATGGCCAGGCCTCCAAGTCCATCATAAAAGCATCCAGACAGTTTCAGCAATGGACTGGTCTATTTTTCACTTTTTTTTGGTACTGGGGGTCGAACTCAGGTCCTTGTGCTTGTAAGACAGGTAGCAGAACCACTGAGCTAAATCCCCGGCCCTATTTTTCACCTTTATTTTCCTTAAAAATAATAAATTTATTACAGCTAGATCAGGAAGTCTAATCGATCATCTTTACTCAGTATTTGGTGTGAATGTTGAATGAAGATAAATCCCTTGACTTCAAGGAAACTCCAGTGCTACCCTCCCATTAATTTCAATCGTATTTCTTGTATTCTCTGAATTATGTTTTGGAAGAAATTATAAAGAATAAAATTTGTCAGGAGAGAGGGCTGGGGATTTAGCTTAGTGGTTCTGCCACCTGCCTCTTAAGCGCAAGAATCCGAGTTCAATCTCCGGTACCAAAAAAAAAAAAATTTGTCAGGCGATTACGTTAGTCAAGATTGGTAAGATTTACCCAGCAACATTTCATTTAAAATGCTTCTTGCCAGTTAAATTTGAGCTTTGGTGCTTTCCCTCATCATTATTTTGTGACAGTGTGTAGTTTTAGACTGCCTAAATGGCTTTTGTGCTCTAATAACAACGGAGTCCGTGGATGCTGGCTTGGGCCAAGAGCTTCTGGACAAGTCCATCGCCTTTCATGCATATGTTACGGCCCATTATGGCCACTATCAGAGGTGCAAATTTCTTTTGTCATTATTGTTCTCTTTTGTTTTACAACTTCATTGATGTAAAGTTGATGTTAAAGAACTTACAACATACAAGTATACTTAGTGTCTTAATTTGAGAGTATAAAGTAGACTCAAGGGGAGAAATAAAGGCATAGGTAAGGTAAAATTGTATGTTTTATAGCTTAGTAGATGCCCTGAATGCTAAATAAATATAAGTGAAGGGGGAGAAGACTGATACCCAGTACCAGCGGTGCTTACATGATGATGTGAACGCAGTGTACATGAAGAAGTCTCGGCCAAGTGTCTGGTAAGCACCCCAGTGCCAGTGAGCAGAGTCGGAGGACGCTCCTGGGTCTCTCAGCTGTCCTGATTTCCCGTGTCACTGCCACATTCCCTGCCTGGTGCTTCTTGGACCTCTAAGAGTCGCTTGGCCTTGAATCCTTGTTTCAGGTTACCCACCTTTAGGCAGGCAGTTCAAAAATGATAAAAAGCCACTACAAGGGCTGGGGATTTACCTCAGTGGTGCTGCTGCCTGCACCTCACAAGAGCAAGGTCCTGAGTTCGATCCCAGGTACCAAACACCCAAGCCCCCCACAAAAAGAAGAAACACTTCAGAATTTAAGAATTTGGAAATGTAACCCACATATCTGTTACCAACTAGCTTCTTGTACTACTAGGGATGGGCTGTTTTCTGTGTTTTCTACACTGAGTTAGATGCTCCAGGATGTTTTCTTTTAAAGGAAAGAATCTGAGGAGTCTTACCCATCTGGGGATGGGTAGTTGGTTTGTAAAATCAGCCTCTATTTGGACTCTCTTGTTAGCATTTTGGTAAATTCTCCTTTTTCACCTTGTTCTTGATTAGGACCAGTCGCTCCTCTGTGGCTCGCCCTCCCAACTGGGACACAGCAGATTGATTTTATTACTTCCTCTAGTACTGGATTCTTTAATTGGTTCTAAACTGGAACTTCGAGTCATTTTATCTCATTGGAAAGAAGTACTGTTTTAATGAGCTAATTCGGAAAATCTTTGGCTAACGATGATTCAAATGATTCTGATGGTATTGGACTTATGTTTAATTACCATATTAAAATTAATTCCCATTTATCTGGACACATTGATTTCCTTGAGAGCATTTTATATGTGTCACCTGTAGGAAGTGACAGTCTCATATCTAATCTCATATCCAAAAAGACAAATTAAATCTCTAGGGAGCATTTGCTTTTGATATAATTTGAATTACAAAGTTGAGATTCATGATTAAAATCTTGCACTAAAGAATGGTTGCTGAGATTTCATTTTGAGTTAAGGTTGAATTTGAGTACCAGGTCCTCTTTTCTCTTCTGTTTACGGGAGCAAGATTTCTTTTTTCTTTTTCTTTTTCTTTTTAAATGTGTAAACCAATATTAGCTCCTTTAAAGAGGAGAGGGGAAGGTAGTGAATTGTACTTCTTCAAACAGAAAATGATTTAGGCCATATAGAATGGTGCCTTTTGTTTGTTTTGTCTTGGCATGGAGTCACCTTGTGTTGCCTAGGCTGGCCCAGAACCCTTTGCTTGAGCAGTCTTCCTGCCTCAGCCTCCCCTGCAGCTGGGACTACAGATGTGTATTGTGGTTCCCAGCAAAAGCAGTGCCCTTTCTGGAAGTTTTCTTGCTGAGAAGGCTGGAAGAGGATACACTGTACTTGGCTCTTTCTGCCTCCACACTTTAACAACGGACATTGGGAAAATCTGACTCAGTGCTTTTACATTCTTATTATAAATTATGCAGGAATAAGGCTGTATTAAAACACCACAATGGGTAAAGTCAAATTCTCAGTCTGTCTGCATTACTTTACATAAAGAAATTAACATTGGTTCCATCAAATTTTTACCAATAAAAATAAACACAAAAATATTTAAGTGGATCAATTTTGCTGTGGTTGGAGGTCCTGTGTTTAAAACCTTTCCAACTTTAATGGGACATCTTTCTGGATAGAAAACTTTTGGTAGCATTTAACCATAAAAAGGTTTCTTTGGTGTCCACTTTTAGTCTTTTAAGCTTAATTGTTTAGCATTATTAATTTTGCATACAATGTAACAGCTTTTTTCTCTGCTAGACTTTTGTCTGTGTTAAAGGCAATGTATTTATAACCTTAATAAATAACAGTTACTCTGAGGTGATGAACTGATTTCACAGAAATAATTGCAGGTTTTTATTCAATAAAAGGTAATTTTGAGCTGGGGATTTAGCACAGTGGTTCTGCTGCCTGACTCACAAGCGCAAGGTCCCGCGTTCGA